TCCTGACCCTGTATTTTTCTTACAGAATTTCAAAACAGTACAGGTGACCATCTAGTGATATTGAGTGATGTTTTCCACAAACAATTCCATTTTGATAACTGGGCAATTTTCTACTATTGATGAGTCAAGTTTCCGTTTGTAAGTTGTTTCCTCTGAATCAACATGAAAAATGATGCAAACTTCAAATATATTGGAAACATCAGTATAAAGCAACAATAAAAAGGATGGTCTTTAAGACAGTCCTTAAAGTTATTTTGTATCCCCTGAAACATTTGTTTATGATGATGAGGTGCCATTGCATGAGTGTTTTCTTTAATCAACTGAGTGTATGGAACTTGAGTTACTGCATTAAGCACTTAGGTTGATGCTTAAATGCAATGCTTTTGAAGTGCTCTTTGCAGTTTATAGTCTTGACTGCAGTGGAAATAGTGAATTTGACATTCTTGATGCAGTGATTCTCTCATCTATTGAGGCAAGTTTTTTTTTTAAACCTGGCTGATCTTGTGTACCCAAATAAGGCAACCCCTTCCCTCTGGCAGATTCAAAAAGAAAAAAAGGAAAGGAGAAGAGATGAGAAGAGAGGGGAGGAGAGAAGAGGAGAGGAGAGGAGAGGAGGAAAGAAGGGAGGTAGGGAGAGAGGGAAGGAAGGAAGGAGAGAGAGGAAAGAAAAAAGAAAGGAATGAAAGAAAGAAATAAAAAAGAAAAAGAAAGAAAGAAAGAAAGAAAGAAAGAAAGAAAGAAAGAAAAGAGAGGAAGAAAGAAAGAGAGAGAGAGAGAAAGAAGGAAGGAAGGAAGGAAAGAAAGAAAAGATGAAGGGAAAAGGAAAGAAGATTAAGTAAAAAGGAACCCTTATGTAACTCCCGGGTGGTATATTTAAGTGCTAAAGGAGAAGCTCTATTTATTTTTAGTGTAGTTCCTGCCTTTTGTTATATGAATATAATCAACATAAGTTTTGAATATATAATCTCATGCCTAGGATCACTGAAGGACAACCAAAAAATAATGTAAGCTACATAGTCAAATATGTTATAATGATATGGACACACTATGGGGTAGTTCTTTTGGATTTGATAATGGAAAACCTGCTCCAGTAATAATAGACAACAGTGACATGGGACCATTCAAGCACCAAACCCTGTGCTAGGTGAACTATTCTTAGCTCTTGATAGTAACTTTTTTGCTCCTCCAACAGTGCCGTGAGGTAGATGGATAATATTATTCTCATGTTGCAGAAAAAGACTTTGAGACACAGAGAGTTTAGGCAATTTGCTCAGTCATACAACTTATAAGATGAACATGGAATTTATCTTTCAAACCGAAACTTTTGAGACTGATAGAGGATGCTATAAATAAGTATACAAAGCAGCAGGAATAAACCAGACAGATCTGTAAAATCTAGGAGAAATGATTACCCTAAAAAATCAGGGATTTGGATATTGGATCCATATCATAAGTCTGTGTGAGCTACTGTAGTGACCACTGTTCTCACATTTTGGCTTTTGTCCATTTTGTTCATCCCTACAGCCTTCATCCCTCCACTCTTCCATTCTTGTGCCTAGACTTTTTCTTTCACATGCCTTCCATTCTTGTCCGTAATACAACTGATGCATCATATTACCTGCAATTTGTATGTGAACCACTCCCAACAAGGATGAATAAGACGGAATCCTCATCCTCCAGGACCTCAATACAGCCAAAACTTCATTAGTTCCCTCAGGGAAAAGGTTATTATCCTGCTTTGGTGTATCAAAGGAGTGCTCACTGATTACCAAGAAAAACAGCTCATGTGCTTTTAAACCCATCTGCAAAAATTCCCTATGCTTTCTGATGAACAGAAATCTATACTGAACCTGAATCGTTTGAAAGTTTGGCCAATAAAGGACATGATGCTCTCAAAGGAATTTTATGTTGCCTATCCAAATTCAAAATGAAAGTATTAAAATCGCAAAATGGAAGTGCAGCTGGTTTTTCTCTAAGGTTTATCAGTGATGAGTCACCTATTTTTATTGCATAAGAAATCAAATCTAGTGTTGTAATGAAAACATGATACAGTAAATTTAGGATAATTCTTGGAGCACTCAAGATGTGCCTATTTGTTCAGGGACACTGAGTCCTTTGAGATTTATTTTAAGTACTTTAATATTCTGTAAGAAAGGCTTTTGTTTTTCTTTGTTTTTTTTTTTTTTTTTTTTTTTTAGTGTTAGAGGAAAGCTGCCCCATCTTCTAAACACCCACAATGACTGGTTTTAATTCAACAATTGTTACAGAAGCAAGATATGTAGATTATGCACTTATGCTTTGTATTTATGTCCCTTTATCAGCATGAGGCACATATTTACTTACACGTAGTTTAAGCATTACATTTTTAAATCTTACCTCTTTTTGTATTCACTTAACATATGAGCTTCCTATTTCCCTAAAGATGTTAACTGCATCAAAATTTTACCTGAGTGTTTTGACAGTTAAACTCTGAAGAAGGAAAGGGATTGAAGGTTGGATTGATCTAGTGTCTGGTACAGGAACTGGAAAAAGAAAGAAGTAGAAGTCATCTATAAATTACCTTTGCTACATGGAAATAGGTTTTCTTATCTATTATTAAGGGGTCATAAAGAACCACATTGCTATTTTAGACGTCTGCCTATCTAGTCTAGAGGTAAATATGTATAACTTTAAATTTCGTATTTGTAAAAACATGTATGGTGATAATTTCACAGGTATAATGTGAATCTCATCAGTGTATGAAAGTATATCCTTTTCATAATGGATTTATTGAATGATTCATACTACTTTAAGAACTATTTTGCGAAGAGAGTACATTTTAAGTGTTCTCACCTCACAAAAAAATGAAAAGTGTGTGAGGTAGTACTTATACTATTAGCTCAAATTAGCTATTCCACAATGTATACATATTTTTAAACAACATGCTTTACTTAAAACAACATGCTTTACATGATAATTATATATAATTTTGACTTGCTAATTAAAAATGAAATGAAATAAAATACCTTAAGAAACAGAGACATATTTCAGGATGTTAGTTACCATCCATGCAAACACCTCAAACCACTTAGAATGTGTATATACTTAAAACAGTAAAAACTTCCATTACATTCCAACTATAATTAATAAATATGTGTTTATTTTTGTGCACTTCTCACACTGAAAGCTATGCAATTTAAGGGATTTACTGCATAAATTAGTGATCCTAATAGACTTTTCCATTCCTTTACAGAATATCATCCATTGGTTATGCTTTTCTGTTTGTTTTTTGTTTTCCATCTAATGTATATGGAGACAGAGAAATTATTAGACCTCAGGGTCCAATAATATATCTTTTATTCTCTTTTAAAATAGAAACTAGTTGTATGACAATCAGAAAGCCTTTTTTTCTTTTCAGCAGTTTTTGGAGCAAAGAAGTGAAATAAATTTCCTCTAAGCCCCAAGATATCGAAAGTTAAAGTTAAGGCATGTAACAGTAGATACACTTAATTCTAAACATTGAATAATGCTTAAAGAATGTCCTACTAACTTGCTGTCCTGTTTATCTATATACAGCGGAGATTTGGACCCTGTAGGAAAGATGAACTGGCTTATTTATGGATAGCAAAAAGTATATTGTTTTAAAATTTAAAGAAACTATATTAGAACTGGTATCCCAAAACAGCATTTAACATCTGTAATTTATTTATATGTTACCCAGTACCCTCTTTCCTTTAACATTACTTACACAATACTTTTTAAAGCTTAGTATGTCATATTAGAGGATAAATGAAATTCTATCCTATGCTGATAATGGATTGACTAATCACCTGAAAGAACTTTAATAAAGTACAGTTTCACTAATGTGATGTACTAATAATAACCAATTTAATTTGAAACTAGGTTAGTAGTGCAGTAATATATTTATACAACTAATATTGTTAAATTCTTAATTTTCATCCTCCTTATTTAAATTACAAATTCCTTTAAATGAAATTCACTTATGAGGAGTGTAATGAATTTTTACTTTAGCTTTTCAATCGCAATAGCTTTTACAATTGTCTGCATCATATTTCTGTATAAATTCTCCAAGGGACACTTGAAAATATGATGTAGAACAAGTGTGGACCTATCCAAAAGTTTTACAAATTACACTTCATAATTGAAAATGCTTATAATCTAGAAGTTCTGGAGTATTTATCATCATAGTTTTACACATTATAAATGTATATGTAATATACATTTGTATATAACTATTAAATATAATAAAATATATTAAAATATTACTAAACTTATTCATACATTTTCTGATATGCATTATAATATTTATTGGTATTAAGGACACAATTCTCTGTTTACATATATATATTTATACACACACATTTTTACTTTCAATTTTAGAGAGAAGTTTTAAGAATTATTATTAATCTATTTAATCACTATTCCTACATATTATTTTGCTTTTGCAATTCTGACATTGTTATATAGATTCTGATAGTTCTATCTCCAAAAGTAATATGGCTTTGTTCTCCATTTCTTCAGGGTACCCTATCTAATCCATGAAAATTTGTTCCAAAGACAATGTTCAGATGAAAATGCAGAAAATTTCTTCTTAAGACAAAATTCAGATTTAAATGCAAATTTCAATCCATTAGTCAAGTCTGTTAATCAAAATGTTTTTTAAAAATACAGTATGAGTTTCTGACAATTAAAATAGAGACCAACCATGAACAATCAATATAGCAGTGCCTGTTAATATTCTCAGAATATCCACTCCATTACTGACCAAGATTGTATGATTCCCACTGAAAGCAACAAAAACTAAGACTCATAAGTAAAATTCAGCAACCTTAATGAAAAATTTTGTCTAATAAGAAGACATAGTTATTTTGTTGCTCTGATAAATATAATTTTGACTTGAAATTTTATTTTGAATATACTGCAAGATTTACCTTGATCAATATTGATTACACTAAAATGTAAAGCAAGTTTAGTTGAAATTATTATTTCTTTTTTAATAGTGGCTAGTATTCAGAAGCTTCCTGCAGCCTCTGTTCTAACAGACATCAACTTTCCAATGAAAGGACGGAAGGGAATGGTTGACTGGGCAAGAAACTCAGAAGATAGGGTAGTAATTCCAAAAAGCATTTTCACTCCGGTGTCATCAAAAGGTAAATATCTGAAATAATGTGAACTTGAACAAGACATTTTTGATAAAGTCATTTAATTAGAAATTAGGTATAAATCTTCACACATTAAACAGTTTAGAAATAGTCTGTAATCATTATGTTAAACTAATTTTCTAAATATAGACAACTTATTCTTGGTTCAAAAGTCTCTGAATTTACTGAATAAAACAGTCTATTACAGTGTGAAAAGTATACAAGTGCAAATTATCGACCTGAGCTTGCCATGGTCAAGTTTCAATATTCATGGTTTTATCCCCGTATAAAGCATGTGGACTAATATTTTACCTTTAGGTATTGAAATGTGTTGTATTTTCCATGCAATGTCATTTTTATTTCTGCCTCATTAAAATTTGCCTTGGTTTGATGATATTATTTTGGCATACAAAAACAAATTTAATACCTGGGTGATAAAATAATCAGTACAACAAGCCCCCACAACACAAGTTTACCTGTGTAACAAACCAGCACATATTCTCCTGAACTTAAAATAAAGTTTAAAAGAAAACAAATTTGAGAAAAAGTTAAGTTTTTAGAACATTTGTAATAGCCTTTAGAATTAATGGCTCTTTTCAAAAGTGACATCGTGGTCACTTTTGCAGATTTCGACCTTAAAAGGTAAAAATCCAAAAGAGAATTGGTTCTCTTTTCTGATATCCTTGGGAAATTAAACTCTTAAATGGAGACTCAGGCAGCTTCTTGTCTCAACCTGGTAAAGGAAGTTTCCTTCATGATGCAAAACTATAGAAAACACATCTTCAAGAGCTATCATTAACGTGCATGGTTAGGAATGCATTTCTTTTTACCAGGCTTTATCTTTGCATAAGGAAGTACTGGAATTATCTTGTAATTAGCAGATTAAAGTTTTATAAGACATAGTATTTTCTTGCCGTTTGCTAATACTTCAAATTTTATTCTTTCTAGAATTAGATGAATCATCTGTATTTGTTCTTGGAGCAGTACTATACAAAAACTTAGATCTAATTTTGCCCACTTTGAGGTAAGCTACAAAGTAATAAACTGTTGTAATTTTGTAAATTATTCCAGAATGTGATTAGAGCTCATTCTATAAAAATAGTCAAACAAGCTGTGGTAATACAAAGGGATTTTTCTTAAATGAAATAGAAAATACAAATTTAACGAACAGGCTATTAGCAATTATGCATTTCAAAACAACTAGGAAAGATAATTTTGGTGTCTGATTGTAGCCCTGCAAATACTTTTGTGACTAATAATACCTTGCCTGGATTCTGAAAAAGGAAAAGAAAAGAAAAGAAAAATCACAAGTGTGTATAATAGAATGGGTCACTGTAAAGTTAATCTGTCTTCTCCCTTTAGTTGTGCTTAATGGTACCGTTCATCAACATGACATGAAAGTAAAGGAGTGTCATGACGACTGGGAAAACATGGTATTGTTTATTTGCACAAGATCTTAGTTTGCTTTGAAATAAATTTTCAGTTACAGCTACATTTTTTAAAAATGCTGCTGTTAGGCCGGGCACAGTGGCTCAAGCCTGTAATCCCAGCACTTTGGGAGGCCGAGACGGGCGGATCACGAGGTCAGGAGATCGAGACCATCCTGGCTAACCCGGTGAAACCCCGTCTCTACTAAAAATACAAAAAACCTAGCCGGGCGAGGTGGCGGGCGCCTGTAGTCCCAGCTACTCGAGAGGCTGAGGCAGGAGAATGGCCTAAACCCGGGAGGCAGAGCTTGCAGTGAGCCGAGAGCCGGCCACTGCACTCCAGCCTGGGCGACGGGAGTGAGACTCTGTTTCAAAAAAATAAAAAAATAAAAAATGCTGCTGTTTATTTAGAGGACTATTTCTGGAAGAAAGCTATCAATTTCTTTCCTCCCAGATATTAAAAACAATTACAAATGGTAATTCTACCAAAACTAACTTATTTGCTTTACTGTCTTATCTACTATACCAAATCTCACAGAAAACATCATTCACATCTAATTGGGCTGTGATGTTATCACTCATAGTGACCTGTTTCTCCACATCACCTCATTTTGGAAGATAGAGATAAAGTTGTTTTAGTTAAATACGATCACAGTAGGACTTCTTTCTTATACCCTCATAAATAAAGCTTTACATTTTTGGAGAGGAAAGAATATAAATGATGTGTGCAGTTATACTGTGGACAAAACAAATAGTCTAATAAATAAAAACAATTAGAGTTCAGTGCAGATGAAAAAAATATCACCCAAGGAAGCAGCAGTGATTAGTCATGAATCTTTAGAGAAAATCTTTCTATGTGTAGCACATTATTAATATAGGTAGAGAGTCATCCAGAGCCCCTGTAGATGCCATGCAGAGTCTCCTTCAACCATAGAGACAACCATGGGAAGTTGAAATTTATTTACCTCCCTTCTCCTCTGAATAGAATTCAGATTTCCTCAATTTGGATCAGTCTGTGTTTGTGTTTTGCTAACAAAAAAAGTTTGAAAACAAAAAAGTCTACTCTCAACTTTTCCAGTGGTTTTATTAAAACTCATTGGTATTTACAGTTACTCGCAGATAAAATTTATTCATAGTTACACTGCCTCTATCTTTATGTTTGATGTTGATGAGAGATATGCTAAAGTTAAAAATGCCCAGATAATCAAAGTTAGACATTTATTTCCACAGGGAATTCATTTATATAAAGCTTATATTTTAACAACTCTAGACTAGACACTAACTTAAAATCAGGTGACTTGTGTTTTCATTTCAATTAAACATGTCGAGAGTTTTATAAACTTGTCCAGTCGCTCAGTATTTATGTGCGTTCAGTTCAACTTTAAAATAGAAACGTATTTATGTGCAACATTCTCCCTATTTGCTCCTGAGATACATAGTGATTACAAATGAAGTATTCAACATAAAAATTTTTAGATTAGTTTCCCTCCTAGATGTCCAGCAGCGTTGCATTATGATTAATCTTGTTCCATATAATCTCATAGCACTCACTCACCTACACAAATGAAGTCAGGTTATTCCAAGTTTTATAAATTTATGCAGTCAATATAATTGGAAATTTCTTCAGGAAATTTCCCAAGGGATCCCAGCCTTTTTTGTAAAATGAAAAAAGAAGCATTTAATTAGTGTTTGAACTTTAAAAAAAAATATCATGACAGAGGCAGTTTGTCTCTTAAAGCTTATGGGTAGATTAATGGCTTCATTATGGATGATTTAATGGATACAGTAGAGACCAGTCTGACAGACTGGCTCCCCTGATACCGCCTGTAACACAAAGGGATTCAGACAGGCCACTGTGCAAGTCACTGACTTTTTTTATAAGTAAAATGTGGTAATTGAACTTAAAATTTTTTTCACCTTCAGAAATTACATTTTCATTGCAGAAAGTTCCTACATATTCTTTAGATTGAAGTCCTTAATAACCTCTGTATAAAAATCACGAATTCATTTACCTATATATTCTTTGTATGCATAAAGTAATTTAGTAAATGTCTATAGGACAACTAAATAGTACTTAGATGACTGACCAGATGTAAGGACAATAGAATGTTCAGGATGAAATATTTGTTAAGTACTCTTAGAAAGGTGAAGTACTAGTGTTTACTTCTCATTTTATCTCTTGTAGTAATATAATGTGACCACTAAGTACCCTCGAACTTGTTTTTCTCCGTTTCAAAACATTATTCCAGAAAGTCTAATGAGTAACTGCACGAATTATAGGTCTGCTAAATGAAAATATACTTTTTATTGAACAAGGGTGATTCTTTTTTCCACAGTCACTCAGCAAACATTTACTGAGCAGCGCCCCTGCTAACAGTACTGTATGAATTCTTTTAAACTTCCCCTGCTGTCGCAACCCTCAGAACAGTTCTTGATAAAGGGTCAAGGATTTTTTTCTGTAATAATTAATTTATTTTTATTTTTTTATTTATTATCATTATTATTATTATTATTATTATTATTGAGACAGAGCCTCGCTCTGTTGCTCAGGCTGGAGTGCAGTGGCACGATCTCGGCTCAGTGCAACCTCTGCCTCCCGGGTTCTCGCCATTCTCCTGCCTCAGCCTCCTGAGTAGCTGGGACTACAGGCGCCTGCCACCACGCCCAGCTAATTTTTTTGTATTTTTAGTAGAGATGGGGTTTCACCATGTTAGCCAGGATGGTCTCGATCTCCTGACCTTGTGATCTGCCCGCCTCGGCCTCCCAAAGTGCTGGGATTACAGGCGTGAGCCACTGTGGTAATAATTAATTTTTCTATCTGATAAAATATCTTATATAAGACATCTTTAAAAATAAGGCACAATATTTACAAGTTTAATGTTACAATGTTACAATAAGTACAAGTTTAATGTTTGTACTGTGAAAATATTTTAGGAACAGAGGATTAAAATATGCGTATTTTGCAATTTTACTGTGTAAGTGTGACTGTGTGAATTGAACTCAATAGGAAGGGAAACATCTTCTTATTCAACATAAAACGTACAAATTCATTCTATATGTTCAGTTATTATTTACACATTTTTATAAAATGTATTCCTTGTTGATGATTTTACTAATTATATGTTGAAATATGTGAAGCCACATTTGTTATACACAGAAATAGTAATAGTAGATTTGTTATGTTTCCAGAAATGATATATTTTGGTATAATTATTTTCATAATTTTTCTCATAGAGACTATGAAGCAGGACTTGATGTATGCTTTGAATAAATATAGTTTAGAAATTGTCCTTCATACAAAGACAAAAATAACTTTGCAAGTTGACTGTCTCTTTATTGAGATATTTCTCTTCTTCTCTTAGCCCTAATATACATTCAACTGTCCTTCGAGCTGCAATTTTTATTTTACTATTCAGTTGTCTTCCCTTTTAAAGTTAAGTAGATTCAGATTGTTACTTCAACTGAAGGAAATATGCTTCAGATGAAGTCCAAACTATGTGCTATTCTCAGCCTCTCAACTTCCTTCTTCAGAATAATTTCTTAGAGATAAAAAGTACAGATGGGCCAGGCATGATGGCTCACGCCTGTAATCAGCACTTTGGGAGGCCGAGGTGGTGGATGACTTGAGGTCATGAGTTCAACACCAGCCTGGCCAATATGGTGAAACCCCATCTTTACTAAAAATACAAAAATTAGCCGTGCGTGGTGGTGCATGCCTATTAGTCCCAGATACTTGGGAGGCTGAGGTGGTAGAATCACTCGAACCTGGGAGGTGGAGGTTGCAGTGAGCAGAGATTGCACCACTGCCCTCCAGCCTGGGTGACAGAGCAAGACTCAAAAAAAAAAAAATAAAAAAATAAAAAATTTGTAAAAAGTATAGAACTACAGGATATTAATGCTGTAAGGTCTTTTAGGGTTTAGTGTGAGCTAGAACTCTCATTTTATAGATAAGAGACCTGAGATCCTTATCGCTTAAGTGACCTAAGATTATATGTCCAGTAGGTAACTGAATTATAATCCAACTTACCTTGTTCGCTAAAACCAGGACTCTTCTACTATATCTCATTCCCTCTATTCTGCTACTATTTATTATTTTAAGCAGTACAAACCATAGACTTCTATGATAGTTCATGAGTATACCTGTATCCTTTGCAGAAAATCTTGTAAGAGCCAGAACAGGTAGCTCTATGTGGGCAGCTTCAGGGAGCACTGGGGCTGGCCTGGTGGCCCCAGCCCAGGCTGTCAATGCCAAGACTTGAATTTGTCACACCTCCCATTCCCCCATGATCACTTATGTGCATGTCCAACTCAGTTCAGAGGGTCCTTTGAGGGAGTGAGATATTGACACACAGACCCCACTCACATTAAGGAATTAGAAAACTTGCATATCTTGGCAAGCTCATAAACTGCTCTGAAAATTTTAACTTACTTTTATAACATTTTTTGAGGCCAATTTAGCAATACCAAGAGACTTAAAAGTGCTTTGTCATTGATATAGCAATTCTACTTCGAAGAATTTATTTTAAGGAAATAATCTCTAAGGAAATAGAAAAGTATATCCAAGTATACCCTCAAGCCAAGATATCAATAAATGGTT